ATATGCAACCATGATTTTAAAAAATATGCAACAATTAACTATTTAATATCATCTCGAATTCAAGTACACCCTACAGTTTTCAATACCTTTGTTTCTGAAAAATAATACATTTTTCTCATAGGAACCATACTAAGAAATAAAAACTATCCCTGACTAGGTTCAAACATCAAAAATCAATGGTGCAAATAATTGTATTATAAAAGAAAGCTAAAGAGCTGAAATGACCTCTACAATTTAAAACATTATAAGACAGGCACACTAACTATCGAGGGCTTACCAATACTCTATGCTCTTGGTGGAAACTGATCTCCTAGTTACTAATGACATTCCTTCTCTTTATATTTTATTATTTTTTTGGGCAGTACTGGAGTTTGAATTCAGGGCTTCACCTGCTAGGCAGGTACTCTACCACTCGAGCCACTCCATCAGCCCTTTTTCATGTTGGGTAATTCTGAGATAGGGTCTCATGAACTATTTGCCCAGGCCACAAATCATAATCCTCTTGATCTCTGTCTCCTGACTAGGATTACAGGCATGAGCCACCCATACACAGTATATATTATATGAAATACATGGCCAATGTAAATAATTTAGAAAGCATAGATATATTCAGTATAAAATATAAACACCTTCATCCTGCTCTTTTCCCATTCCCTAGAGTAATTTAACTAAATGATCACTGTTAGCAAGCTGATGCATAAAAAGACACTCACTAGAATTCATTCAGGTTTTGTTATTTTTTAAAAGGATTGTACTACACAGGTAATTTTTTTAAAACTTCCTTGCTCTGGAATAGTTTTGAATTTTGGGTCTACTCAGTCCTGTGTGATCAGGGTCATGTTTACTTGATGCCTTAGTTTCCTATCTGTCAAAAAGGATATTATTTTACTAACGCTCATAAACAGGCAGTTTGTTTCCAAAATTTCACTATTATAAATAATGTGCAATAGCTAAACTAATCTATTCTTGCACTGGAGAAGTTCTTCTTTTTTAAGTGGGGCCATTAGAGTTCTAGAAATGCTGGATAAAAACTCAACATTTTACATTTTGATAGATTCTACTAGTTTGCATTCTATAAAGAAAGACTGAAAAAATTTGTATTTTTAGTGTGTTCATTGAATTTAAAAGAGCCTTCGTGACATAATTTAGATGGCACCACGCATCTCTTAAGTGAGCTGTGGAAGATGTTGGAAATAAAACTTTGCTCCCTAATGAACTGGTATCCTATTCTGTTGTAACAAATTACCACAAACTTAGTGGCTTTAAATAACACAAATAATCTTATCCTTCTAGATAGTCTAAAATAGGTTTGCTAATTTCTTCTGGAGTTCTGGGGAAGAATCTGTTCCCCTGCTTCTAGAGGCCATCTACATTCTTTGGCTAGTGGCCCCATTATCACTCTGTACCTGGCAAACACATTTCTCTATGAGTCTACAACTTTTTCTCACATGGTTCCTTGTGATTAAATTGCCTCCCTCCTCCTAATCCAGGATAATCTTCCATATCAAAATTCTTACCTTGAATGCAAAATCCCTTTTGCCAAGTAAGGTGACATTCATAGCTTTTTTTTTTTTGGGGGGGGGAAACGACACATGGCATTGTGTTTACCATGTGTATAAATACCTTCTTCTTCTTTTTTTTTTTTTTAATAAAGACTTATCCATTGACCCAGGGCTGTCTGTGGCACCTTCTAGAACATAATACCAAATACAACAGAATTAAGTAGTTAACCCTTGGGATTGCAGAATGCAGCAGCCCTGCATTGAATTTAGAGCACTGCTCTCAGAGTTGTGCTCATTACTTTAGAGGCACCAAAACGACAATTCTCCCAAGGCCCTTTCATTGTTTCTTTCCATTGCAGATCCATCACACCACACAGAACTAAACAAGCTTCTAATAAGCTAGTGCTCTAAGTCAATTTAAACAAACCAGAAGGAAATAAACTTGATGACTTACTTTGTATAAACATAGTGAGTAAATTACAGTTGGTTAGGTCTTTTAAAGTCATGACAATAATTCACACTTTCATTTGGTCACCATAGTAGCAGATGCAACACTTTATCAACGAATTAGATGGACATTGATCAATGCAAAGCTTTATGTTTTGAACAATAAATTACTTGCAATGTTGACAGCCTTTAAAAAATTCTCTACTTTCAAGTCCATTTGAAAAGGTGAGTGCTTGTTTAGTTTCAATTTTTAATCATACGTTAGGTATTACGATATATTTTCAGTCATTCCTGAATGCTAAAACTATATTAATTTAGTTTGGATATAAGTAAAAATTCAGTAACAGTGGGTTATTTGATGTATAAATAAAAATAGCATATCAAAAAGCTCAAGGAGTTTGTTAATAATTTAAATTAGAAACTGCCCAAAACATTAGAAACAGAGGGAAAAGAGAAAAAGATCCAAGCAAGAAAAAGTGTCAAAAATAATAAAAGCAAAATAAATACATTAATAAGCTAAGCAGGCTGTCTAGAAAATGCTCAGTAGTGAGTTACTAACTACACATAATCTACAGAAAGGACATTGATTAAATCTAAAGTATTTTTATTAGTATTTGTACCGCTTTGGCTCCAGGTAGCTTATTTGAGAACTGTCAAAACAAAATGTTTAACCAAAGTGTTGAATAAGGGCCTTCTTTATGCATTATAGTCTTTCTTAGAGCTTCAAATGCTGACTGATTATGTTGGAAGTTTTACTGACATTAATATCTCCAGCTTAACTCAAGTTCATTTTTAAGTGAGATACCTACTTCTTTTACATGGAGTATGTTTATTTCTCTCTGCAGGTAGAAACATGACCTAATTATGATAAAAATTACACAGCAGTGGAAAAGTGGGCCAGCATCTTAGCATTCATATCTCTAGGTTAGATTAGCATTTTCCAACTAGTTTCTATTGTAAACTCACATACACCAACACTGTTTGTCTCTGGAGGCTGGTACCAGTGGTGGGGGCGAGGATATAAGGAAAGGGAGAAGGAGGCTGAATGTGGTAGAAATATCATGTACTCATGTATGAAAATGGAAAAATGAGACCTGTTGAAACTATTCCAGGAATTGGGGAGGGGAATAAAGGAGAATGATGGAGGGGGTGAATCCAACTAATACATTTTAAGAATTTTTATAAATGTTATAATATACCCCCAGTACAACAATAATATAAAAAAAGAAAAAAATTGAAAACATGGAAATACAGGGATAAATGCTGCCTATAAATGAATATACAAACATATACACATCCCATTTGTTCAAGATAAGTGACCAGAATTGACTGGAACACATAATCTGTCTCTTCAGCAACAGTGGCTACTAAACACTTGGATTCCTTAACATATACATTTGTCTTTGGATAAATCCACATTTTCCTTATCAGTTTCATTTGATTCTATTGGTCTTCTTTCAAAAAATGTACAAAACCCATCTCTACTTACATTTCTCACTTAGAAACTTTCATGGTTATGAGTAAGGTCTGATCCAGTAGACGCATCTCGACTATGTTCTAGACTGGCAACACTGGTGGTCATTTGCAGTTCAATAGTAAAGTCAAAAATCGTAGAGCCATTAGTAGAGTTAAAGAATATGAATAGATGCTTCACAGGAGTCCTTGATAAAATGACGTGACAAATGAAGGTATTCTCAAGACAAGGGGTAAATTTGCTATGAAAATGTTCTTTGACCAAGCAATCAGGAAATGACAAAGCCTGGCTGATGAAATGCAAAACATTTTGAGTGCTGGGTGTGCTCTAAATTTTGGATGTTCATCAGTTATTTGGAGCCTAACAACCACCTTTCAAGTCTTTGCTCTCATTTCCTGCCCTCTTCTCTCCACCTCCTCCCCTTTGTCTATACATTATCCTGTTATACTAAAATAAATCCTTGCTTCAACTTAAAAAAAAAAAGTTCACAAATTTGGACTTAACTGGTGTGGGAATCTATAGTTTCTCAAAACTCCCTGAAAGTTTTTACTTGCTAACAGTTAAAGCAATTTGCTAGAGGATAAGCACCCACATCACATTCCTATGAGCTGATGCAGTTGTTTTCAAGGTAAAGTTCATGGAACTCTTTCATGGGTTCATGAGGTCAAAATTATTTTTTTAATACTAAAAAGATGTTTGTTTTTCTACTGTGATAAATGAAAATGCATTTATGATGCAAAAAGAATTGAGGCAATAGAATTATACCTTTACTCCCTTTCTACCCCACACCAACCTTGTTCTTCCACTTGGAATTTCTGTAGAATTAATGACATTATTGCATAGTAGAAAGAGCACAGGATTTGGTGACCAAAAAAAATGTTAAGCTGCCTCGAAATTTCTTTTGCAATTTTAACTTACAGTGCAAACTTTTCGGAGAGGCCTAATAACCTACAACAAATAACACAAACACATATTAAAATCCCAAAGGGCGGGGTGTGTTAGAAGGTCCCAGGATACACAGCACATTAATCGCCAAGAAGAGAAACCCATTGTGGAGAGAACTGCAGTCATTAAAACCAACACTGTAAGGTAGCATCTTTAGAGTTGAGAAAATGATACTGAAGGTGTGTAGCCTAGTGTTAAACATTAATAACACCTTGGGGGGGGGGTGGAGGGAAGAAGGGAGAGAGATGAGGAAGAGAGGGAGAGAGCACGCAAGAGAGACGGATACTTCCAAGGGTCCGTGCTCAAGATAACCTATGTGACCGCCGGGTACTGCATTATGGGAAGCTAACGCACTTCTAAACAAACAAGGCAGGAGAGCGGCCTCTGTGGGAGACCCTGGCTCCGCGACCCTGGGGTTTTCCTCGGATGGTGGGCCCGATTCTCCCTAGACAGGCATACAGGGACCACACGGCTCCATGACCCGTGCAAACTCCGCGTCCGGGAGAATTTAAGTTTTAGTGACTAGGCTCCTTGGCCTGCGCACCCAACGTCGCCGAACTAACCCCCTGCCCTACCGCGAGTCCACAGCCCCTGGGGAAGCACAGGTGCGAACCGGTACCGCCAATTCTTACCATAGTGAGGCCAGCGATGCCCCAGCCACATCACCCTTCCGGGCCCGGGGCGGAAGAGGTGTGAACGTCCCGCCAGCTCTCTTGGCCTCTCCGCCAATCCGGTTTGGCCATTCACGGTGACTCCGCCCAGGCTCCAAGATTCAGGCATTGTAATAGGCTCCTCTGTCCAGGAAAAGGCGGAACTTAGAGGAGTAACTGCAACCCTGCGGAAGTAGCTGACACTCTAATTGGCTGTCGGTATTTATCTGCAGGAGCTGGCATTTTGGAGGAGACCGGAAGTGGAGTTACTGAGAGGTAGGACCCGGAAGTGGCGGCAGCTCCTTTAAATATTAATAAATGATTTGCTGTTTTCCTCTTTCTTATTTTTTAAAAGCCCCCTTTTATTTATCTCTAGAAGTATGGCTTGCGTGGGCTTTCCTTGCCTCGGATCTTCCTCAGTGGGACTTGTGCTGAGTTAGCGATGCCAAGTTTCCAGGCCTCATGCCCCTTAGGCATGCTTATTTTAGTTACTCCCCTGGCGCGGGAGGATTAAATGAGTTACTAGTAGTCATCTAGCCAAGTGTTTGCTATTATGTGCATGGCTTTCTCTTTCACTAAATTAAAAGCCCTCCTGAGGAGTAATGATAGAGGAAGGATTGATTTGCATATATTAGACACACAATAAAAGGTTTTTGAACTAAATTGGTATTGCTATTATACCAGACCACTTTTCCCCTATTTTTCTTACTTTGGGTGTAGTATTGCCAGTGTTGATGGTTTCCTTTTGCATTAGTTACTTTTTCATTCACTGATGTTTGCATATATTGACAATGGTTTTTTTCTTGCTTTCTCTGATCCTTAACTAGTTGAGCTTCTCTGTGTGTGTTTTTCCTCCCTGTGCCCTATGCATTTGCTTAGTCCAGTACTTTTAGATTATTACCTATAAAAATTTCGATTGATGTTTATAATTTTTTTTCATCTTAAATACTCTTTTAATCTTTCTCCAGGTTTTTTTTTTTGTGTGTGTTGGGGTTTGAACTCAGGGGCTCACACTTGCTAGGCAGGTGCTCTGTCACTAGAACCACTCCACCAGCCTTTTTTTTTGTTGGGTATTTTTGAGATAGGGACTTGTGAACTGTTTGCCTGGGCTGGCCTCAAACCACTGTCCTCCTGATCTCTGCTTCCCCAGTAGCTACCATTACAGTTGTGAGCCACTAGTGCCCATCCTCTCTCTCCATTTTCAACCTCATTCATTTGCTCTTCTTTGGAACAAAAATTCTAGAGTTCTCTATGCTCCATGTCTCAACTTCTTTTTTAGCTTACTTCAATATGGCTATTGCTCCAATACATCTCCAAGATTCCCTTATTAGTGTCACCAGGGGTCTTTGGATGTTGATAATTCTCATTCATCAAAATATTTGGCCTAATCAGCAGCTTTAGACAGATAACCAGTCCATTGTCCTTGGTATATTTCTTCACTTGATTTCCAAGACTATACTCTGGTTTTCCTCATCCCTCTTTGGTTATTCCTTCTTAGTCTGCTCTGCTGGATACTTTTATTCTTCCCAACTTTTTATTGTTTAAGTGCTCTAGGGCATAATCATTGTTTTTCCTTTCCTTTTGATGACATAACCAAATCTTCTGATTTTAAATATCTATATAACAAAAATTTCCACATTCATGTTTCTAGCCGCTTCTCTTTCTGAACTCTAGGTTCAGATTCACATAGCCAATTTTCTTCCTTAGCATGTGCATTTATGTTTTCAAAAATTATCTCAAATATCCCCAACTGAACTTCCTTCCTCCCAAACCTGTGTTTTATTTTTTCTCATCTTGTTGATGGCAACTCTATGCAGCACATTGCTCAAAATTAATGTTTGGAGTTATTCTTGACTTCTTCCTTTCTTTTATGATCGATCCATCAGCAAATCCTGTTGCCTCTCTGTATAAAATATATCTAAAATTCAACAGTTTTCTACTACTTTTCTGTTAGTACTCTCATCTCTTGCTTGGATTTCTGTTATTGACCACTGTCATTTCTTGCTTGGATTACAGTAATAATGTTCCCACTTGACTTCCTGCTTTCTTCAACCCTTGCCTTTTTGCAGTTTATTGTTATACACTAGCCAGACTGATGTTTTTAGAATATATCAAAAATTGTAGTAAGATGTAGGATTCTAAGTGCAACATGTTATCCTAGATTGGATTCTGGAACTCAATAAGAACAATAATGGAAAATCTAATGAAATCCCAATTAAGTGTAGAATTTGATAGTAATGTATCAGTGTTGGTTTCTTAGTTTGATGGTAATATAAAATGGTAATAATAGAGGAAACTGGTTGAGGGGTTTATGAGAACTCTGTATTATCTTTGTAATTTTTCTGTATATCCAGAATGGTTCCACAATAAAAAGATTATTAAAAAAGAATGTAACCTTATTTCTTTGCTTAAAAAATTTTTTATGGTTCCTCATTTGATGCATGGTAAAAGCCAATGCCTTTACATTGACTTGCAAGACATATGATCTAGTCTTCTCTTACTCTAACTCCATGTCTTTGCATGTACTCTGTCCCTTAGCTGCTATGTCTGTCTTTTTTTTTTTTGGTATTGGGGTTTTAATTGGGGACCTTGCTAGGCAGCCACTCTACCACTTGAGACGTGCCTAGCCTGCCATCTAAATTTTTAATACACTTGGCTCACTTCTATCTTCATTCCTTCTCAGTGGCTACCTTCTTTACTTGTAATGCTTTTTCCTAACCATCCATGCAGGTATTTTCTTCACCATTTTTGTGTACTTCCTCAAATATCACCTTTTGAGAAAGCTTTTTTTCAGCTTCCCTATTTAAAATTATAGCTTGCAATAGTCTATACTCTCCACCCTTCCTCTGTATTCCCTGGTTTATTGTTTCCTTTTGCTATATCAGCTACCATTAGATTATATATTTTATATTTGTTGTAAGTATTTTTGTTTTCCTTTATTAAAATGTAAAGTTACAGGCAGGGATTTTTATCAGTTTTGTTTCTTAGGGGAAGTTCTAAAGACTTTGAGGTATAGAAGTACTGAATGGATTTTGGTTGAATGATTGAAATTGACTGAATATTTGATTTTGTAATTATTAATTGGCCATCCAAAACACTAACTTATCTATAATATTTAAATATCATTGCAATTCTTGCCTCCTATGCCTTTGCTCATGCAAACTCTTCTGCTTAGAATGTCCTTCTTTTTTCTTCTATCCCCTAAAATCCTTTTTATTTGCTTTTAATATTCACATAATATGTAATTAAAAGGAGCCTTTCTAAAAAGTCATGCTGGTTAAGCCCCACTTTTCAGAGGAGCTCTCACCCTGCCATTGTTCTTTCCATGCTCATAATTTTATTTGAGTATTTGTCTCACTAGCAAGTTGATAATGTGTTTTATTCTCTCAAACCTTGAGTACATGAGGAATAGTCAATGAAAGCTTTAATGACATGACCAAAAACCCTGAGGTATGAAGTAGTAGATTTCTGTTTTCAAGCTGGGTCTTCTAAGCATAAAATCAACGCTTATTTCCTATTAAAAAAAAATAAGATGGAGCCAGGTGCGGGTGGCTCATGTGTGTAATTCTGGCTATGCAGGGCAGAGATCAGGAGGATTGCAGTTGGAAGCCAACTTTGGGCAACTGGCTTGTGAGACTGTTCAAAAAAAACCCTTCACAGAAAAGGGCTGTCGGAGTGCTCAAGTTATAGGCCCCAGTACTGCAGAAAAAAAAAAAAAGGTGACTGACTGTCTTTAAAATCATAGAAAAATATTCTTTTCACACAAGCAGGAGATAGTTAATGCAATTTGAGCAATTTGTTCCTTTGTCATTTGTGAACCTACTATTGTCAATGAGAAAATGAGTTGTATATTGACTGAAATAATTTATCAGAGGGTTATTGCAGTCAGCAAAATTTTAATGTTGATGACCTTTTGTTTTTTCAGGGAAAAAACACTGTTAAGATTGTATTATCAAAAAAAAAAAAAAAAAAAAGCCATGCTAGAATTTCAAATTGCTTAGAAGCATTCATTTTTTTGTTAGATGCTGCTACAAACACCAGCTTTATAGTAAACTTTTGCTTATGTACCATTGGGAAATCCCAAGGTGTTTATAATAATTCACAAAGATTTTCTGTCGGTAATATGGACATTTGTTTTTAAGATTTATTTAATGATGATTAGTTTGTTAACATATTTATAACATTTGGTACAAAAATTAGGTAACTTAATTTTGTATTTAAAACTCTCTTTAATATTAGATAAGACTTACCCGTTACTCTTTATGATGGACATTCTGAATTCAAACTTAGCACATCATCATCGTTACTGCCTATAAACCAATGTAGGGACAAAGGGAAATTTCTCTTTTGCTTTCTGATACCTCACTGATATAAACTGACAAAGATTAGAAAGGAGAAAAGGCATCCAAATTTATTAACATGTAAATGAGTGAAAATCACAGAATGGGGAAACTCACATGAGTGTGATTACTTAACAGCCCCAATTACTCAGAAACTCCCTTTTGCTTTGGAGAGGGGGAGAATTGGGAATGTCAGAGGAACCGTAAATGGTTTTTAGGGGGAATCCATAGATTTGGAGAACATACAGTAGCTTGAGAGAAATTCTGTTGGGCTTACAGAACACACGATTAGTAAATGATCCTCTCTGGAATCTAAATAGAAGACAATGGTGAGTGACAAAAGTCTTTCCAGGTATGTTGACAGACTTCATATCTCTTCCTGTGATATGAGTTTAGTTAATGGAAACTTGAGGAAAGGAGTGGAGATAATTGTTTCCTTCCTTTATAGTCTAGACTTTAAGCAGACAAAGAGATATCAGAGGAGCAACCTCTTTCAGCATTTGCTGTTTTCTAGGTTCCTTTAATTTAAAATAATCGACATAACCAGTGTGCCATATGTTGGGGTGAAAAATATGACTCCTTTGCCAATGTATTATATATGTATTATACCTTCACCCAAGTCCTCAAGAACTTAATAAATCAGGAAATAGTTTAACTCTGTGAGGACATCAGCATTAATAATAGGGTTGAAAGTGATGATTAGGCTTGGGATTAACTAATCAAAAACAAGTCTTTCTTGTGAGCACTATATTCTGACTATGTGTATCATTCACAGAGCTTTTCTAACCCAACAGAAGTGAACAGATATTGAAACAGCAGAATTCAACCTGATTTTTATTTGAAAGTATTTTATTAGCTCACTTGTAATTTTCTATAAGCAGAAAATCAGAATATTATTGAGTAAAGAGGAATTTCATCAGTTGGAAGAGAAACAAG